TAAAGCCATAAGATCTCATGAGACTTATTCACTATCATGAGAACAGTATGGAAAAGACCTGCCCCCATGATTCAGTTACCTCCCACTGGGTCCCTCCCACAACATGTGGGAATTCAAGATGAGATTTGGGTGGGGACACAGCCAAACCACATCAACAATGTAAATATATATTAATGCATCACATTGTACTCTATAAATATATACAATTACTATTTGTCAATTAGAAATTGTAAAAAATTCTAAAGTCACCAATGTCCAGTAGTTTAATCAATCTTGACTATATAATGCAACCTCCATAGAAACACTAAAAAAAGGAGTCTGGAGAACTTCCAGATTGGTGAACACATACAGGGCTGGAGGTTGCCATGCCCAGAGAGGGCATGGAAGCTCTGCACCCATCAACCCTCCACCCCTTGCCCAATTTACCTCTTACATTTGGCTGCTCCTGAGTTAAGTGAACACAAGGGATTTAACCTTCATTAAACAGATCACATATTATGATTTCACTGCAGTCATGGTGCAGCTTATTAACTCTACAGAGCAAACCTTTGTATCACTTACTAACACATGACATGTAGTTTGCTGCATCAACTGACATGACAATTACGAATGTCAATATGACTGAGCATAGTGGCTCATGCCTATAATCCCAGCACTTTGGGAGGCCAAGGCAGGCAGATCACCTGAGGTCAGGAGTTTGAGACCAGCCTGGTCAACATGGCAAAACCTCATCTCTACTAAAAATACAAAAATTAGCCAGGCTTGGTGATGCGTGCCTGTAATCCTAGCTACTCAGGAGGCTGAGGCAGGAAAATCACTCAAACCTGGGAGGCAGAGGTTGCAGTGAGCTGAGGTTGCACCACTGCATTCCAGCCTGGGTGACAGAGTGAGACTCCATCTCAAAAAAATAAGAATAAAATAAGAATGTCAATATATAAAAAGGAATAGAAAACTGATAGAATTTTACTCTTTTGCTAAAATACATTATATTGTATCTTTGAGATTATTCTAGTACAAAGTGTAATAAAACTAGGTGTTTATTAAACCATTTAAATCATTGGTAGGTATACAAGGGCACTGAAGCATTTAATAGACAAATTAATGTTAATCTATTGGTTACTTGCTCCTGCATTGTCATGCTGTTATAATTTACTTCATCACCTTGCTATTTGATACATAGTGTGAATTTCTCTTGTCACCCCAACTATAGACAAATTTTCATCTTACTACACAATCAAAATGGCATTGATGGGAATGAACTCCAGAGCCTGGGCCTGAACAGGGAGGTGGTCTCTCAGGCTTGATGCTCAGGCATATAACCTATATCTCTCCATTTTTGCCCTATCTCTTAAATATATGTAACATCATAAAATGCTTTTCAATCTTTTTAAAAAGTGTCAAGCTCATGAAAGACAGCCTAAGAAACTATTACAGATTGGAGGAAACTAAGGAAAAACAAAACTGAATGCAGTGTGTATTCTAGATCAGAGAAAGAACATTAGTGGAGAAAGAACATTAGTGAAATGTGAATAATTTCAGTTAATAATGTTGTACCAGTAGCCGGGTGTGGTGGTGGGTGCCTGTAATCCCAGCTACTTGGAAGGCTGAGGCAGGAGAATCTCTTGAACCAGGGAGATGGAGATTACAGTGAGCCAAGACCGTGCTGTTGCATTCCAGCTTGGACAAGAGCAAAAGTCTGTCTCAAAAAAAAAAAAGTTCAAGTGTTAATTTCCTGGTTTTGCACATTATACTGTGGTTTTGTAAACTGTTAACATTAGGACAAGCAGAGTGAGTGGTATACGGGAACTTCACTATTTTGCAACTTTCCTGTAAGTCTAAAATGGGTTTAAAATTTAAAGTTTTTAAAAAATTAAAAAAAGAAAAGCAAACACCAGAATCCTTTCATTTACAAATGTAGCAAATATTTATTAAGTGCCTTTTATGTGCCAGGCACTGGACACTGAAAATATTAATATAATAGTTAACCAGATAGACCAGGTTCCTACCATCATGGAGATTAACATAACATAATGGTGAGGTATAAAGATGGGTTATTAGACAAATAATTACAGTGATTAAAAAAAAATGCTACCCATGGCCAGGTGCGGTGGCTCACACCTGTAATCCTAGCACTTTGGGAGGCCAAGGCGGGAGAATCACTTGAGGTCAGGAGTTCAAGACCAGACTGACCAATATGGTGAAACCCCGTCTCTGCTAAAAATACAAAAATTAGCCAGTTGTGGCACACACCTGTAATCCCAGCTACTCGGGAGGCTGAGGCAGGAGAATCATTTGAACCTGGAGGCAGAGGTTGCAGTGAGCTGAGACTGCGCCCCTGCACACCAGCCTGGGCAACAGAGCCAGACTGTGTCTAAAAAAAAAAGAGAGAGGAAAAAAAATGCTACCTAGAAAAGGAAGATGTAAATGAGCAACCTCACCTGGTCTATGATGTCAAAATCTTCCCTGAGACCTGAAAAAGGAGTAGATGTTGTCATGGGGGTGGAGGGCGGGCGCATGGCACGTTTCAGCACCTAAAAGTGGGTCAGTGTGAATGAAGCCTCGAGCAAACAGGAGAGTGACTGCAGAGAGCAGGAAGCAGTCAGTCATAGGATTCTTTATGGCTTTCTACTCCAACCTAAGAGTGGCAGGATGCCCTGAATAATTTTAAGTGTGGGACTGATACGATCAGGTTTTTGTCTTTTTAAGATCCCTGTAAGTCAACTACAGAGAAACAAGAGTAGATCTTGGGAAAACCTAAGAAGCAGCAACACGGAAAAGGCAGGCAAAGGAAAAGAGATTAGATCACAGCTCCCTGAGAGAGACGGTGAAAGTAAAGGAAGAGTCACAGTCACCAGTATCCGATATTGTCTTGGAAGCAGTAATGAGGTCAGGCCAGGCCTGGTGGCTCACACCTGTAATCCCAGCACCAGGCCGAGGTGGGTGGATCACTTGAGCTAAGGAGTTTGAGACCAGCCTGGGCAACATGATGAAACCTCACCTCTACTAAAATTAGCCAGGTGTGGTAGCGTATACCTGTAGTCCCAGCTACTTGGGAGGCTGAAGTGGGAGGATGGCTTGGGTCCAGGAGGCAGAGGTTGAGGCAGAGGTTGCAGCGAGGTAAGATCACACCACTGCACCCTAGGCAGGACGACAGAACCAGACTCAGAGAGAGAGAGAGAGAGAGAGAGAGAGAGAGGGAGGGAGGGAGGGAGGGAGGGGAGAAAGAGAAAGAGAGAGAAAGAGAAAGAAAGAAGTAATGAGGTCCATTGCATGAACAACATAAAGGTTTTTGGTGGTCATAACCAGAGCAGTTTCAGCAGAGTACTGAGGGCAGAACAAAAGCCAGATTATAGAGAACTGAGAAATGGGCGATGAGGAAGTAGAAGAAAGTATTGACAATTTTTTGAAGAGTTGTGACCTTGAAAAAAAGAGAGGATGGTAGTTGCAAAAGGGGTGTGTGGCCAGTGAGAGTTTTTAATGTTGGAGAGACATTAAATTATTATTATTTTGAGACAGGGTCTCACTCTGTCACCCAGGCTGGAGTGCAGTGGCTTGATCTCTGCTCACTACAATCTCCACCCACTCAGCTCAAGCATTTCTTGTGCCTCAGGCTCCTGAGTAGCTGGGATTACAGGCATGCACCACCATACCTGGCTAATTTTTATACTTTTAGTAGGGACGGGGTTTCACCATGTTGATCAGGCTGATCTTGAACTCCTGACCTCAATGATCCGCCCATCTCATCCTCCCAAAGTGCTGGATTACAGGTGTGAGGCACCGCGCTCAGCCTAATTTCTTTCCTTTTAAGCCACTCTTGTCTTCACTTCCTTCCCTATCCAGTCTAGATCCCACTGTCTAGTGCTTTCTAAGGTAAGAAAGATTTCAGAAGGGGCGTGACCTCCGAAGTGGGTGACTGAAGTAGAAAGATGGTGAAAAACATTGAGGTTGAGGAAGTCAAGGAAATGAAAGGCTCCAGTAGTTGTACTGAACTCTGGCTTGGATCAAAATCACTTGTGGGGCATTTAAAAAATATGTAGATGGCAGATTTCACCTCTGCAGATTCTGACTTAAGAGCTCTTGGGTGGAACCTGGACGTCTATGTATTTACATCTGTGTATTTTAAAATCACTAAAAGTGTGTCTAACGCACAGCTCAGAAAGAACCACTGCACAGGCAGTGAGCTTCACTGGTATTCCTTAGGCATGGATTTTGGTATCCATGGGGGTTCTGGAACCAATGTAACAGATATAAAATACTAATTTAGCACACTTTGGGAAAACTACAATTAGGTAATCTCTGGAGCCCTCTTCAGTTTGTACTGAAAAGAAAAATGGATCAGTCTGAGCTGTTCTGCACCCTGGATGCAGAACATCGCCCCACTGCACCCATGCAGGGCGCACTTGTTTAGAGTCATTTTGTTCCAGACTCACCCATTATCTTCACATTCGTGGAATTTATGATACAAAAACAATGTATAGCCAAACAATACCTTATGTGATTTTGATATAGATTTTTGGTAAACAACTCAGGAACTGCTCGTTATTTTCCTTTAAAAATCCACTTAGGGCCAGGCGCTGTGGCTCATGCCTGTAATCCCAGCACTTTGGGAGTTTGGGACAGGCGGATCACCAGGTCAGGAGTTCGAGACCATCCTGGCCAACATGATGAAACCCCATCTCTACTAAAAATACAAAAATTAGCCAGGCGTGGTGGTGCATACCTGTAGTCCCTGCTATTCAGGAGGCTGAGGCAGAAAAATCGCTTCAACCTGGGAGGCAGAGGTTGCAGTGAGCCGAGATTGCACCCCTGCATTCCAGCCTGGGCGACAGAGCGAGACTCCGTCTCAAAAAAAAAAAAAAAAAATCATCCACTTATAACTGCTGTTAATCAGAGTGTATTTTCATGGCAACTTGAATCTGTGCTCCCAAGTTGAAATCCTCAAGCTTGGCCCAAATAAGCTCTCCACTTAGATTAACTTTGCCTCAACTTCTTCCTTTTAGGTCAACATACCTGGTGTAAGGAGGCAGGATTGAGAGTGACTCTCACCCACCACTGGTGTTTCCTTCTCTTTGAAAGTGGCGCTTGGCACCAGCATGAACTCCCCGTCCTCAGCAGTCCCACCAGGTATTTTTGGTAAATTCTCCTGAATTCAGACCTCCCACTATTTGGGTGAAGTTGTGGACATTATTTGGGCTGTTTTTCAAATCTTCCCTTTTCCTTAAGAGTGAGAGCTTCGGTCTCTGTCTTTGGACAGGAGATTCAGGTCAAGATATCTGCAGAGAACTGCCTCTTTTTTTTTCTGCTTCTGTCACAGCAGAAAGTTCAGGTCAAAGTTTTTCTGCCTCTGCCTTGGGACAGGAGGTTAGGGTAAGGGATTAGCAGTATGGCACCTATGGTCTCATTTTATAGAGCATGCTTTTAAGATTGCAGCTGTGTTTTATTTTTGGGGATTGGGGCTTGGTTTTACATTTGTGACCATCACCAGCTGGGTTTGTGTATGACACTTATGGGGCGTCCTCTTGTAAATATCTAGGAAAGTGGACCCACCTAACACGGGGTGGTCATAAGCAGCAGTATCCAAAACGGGATCCTTTGAAATGTAAAGTAATTCATTTGCATGCACAATTAGGGGGGAAAAGCTGGTTTTAGAACGAGACAACCTGAAGAGGAGACCTATTTTAGGTTTGTCCCGGCTGAAATCTGATAAGAGATTTGGAAAGACTTTTTATGTTAGAGCTCTGTGGTCAGAAATCAGCTTAATTAAAAGCCTATATTTAGGTTATCATGTTTTCTGGAGCAAGGAAGTCTTCTCCACTTTTATTCTCTTTTAGATCCTGTTTCTGGGAATTTTTTTAGCCAGCCCTTTTTAAATGTGTTCTTTCCCTGTTTGCTTCCTATGTTGGCATTTTTGCTGAGAAAAGTGTAAAACTTCATTGGCCTTTTTGAAAGCTTTTGTAGCAAGGAGCACTGTGGATGCATTGCATAGCCTGGTATTGTGGTGTTTCCTTCTTTTTGGGGACTGGGGATTAAATATAGAAGTGAGAGTTTTGATTTTTAAATATCTATGTGTACTGCCTTCCAGTTGTGCCTGCCTTTCATGTATTTAAATATTAGGCCCTGGAAACTGCAGATACTTTCTTTGTCCTGTGTTCATTAAAGGGCTTCATCCTGAAGTCAGTTCATTCATGTTTCTGCAGAAGATACGATTTCATTATTTTTTGTGGCTGTATAGTATTCCACGTGCAGGTTTGTTACATAGACATGTTGCGTAGCAATGAGGTCTGGGTTTCTGATGTACGCATCATTCCAGTAGTGAACATTGCGCCTGGTAGGTAATCTTTCAATGCTAACCCCTGTCCCATCCTCCCTCCTTTTGGAGTCCCCAGTGTCTGTTGTTCCCCTCTGTATGTCCACAGGCACCCGTTGTTTAGCTCCTACTTACAAGTGAGAATGTGCAGTCTTTGATTTTGTGTTTCTGCGTTATTTCACCTAGGATAATTGCCTCCAGCTCCATCCATGTTGCTGCAAAAGGCATGATTTTATTCTTTTTTATGACTGTGTAGTATTCCATGTTGTATGTATATTACATTTTCTTCATTGAATCATCCATTGATGGACACTGAGGTTGATTCCATGACTTTGCTGTTGTGAATGGTGCTGTGATAAACGTACAAGTACAGGTGTCTTTTTTTATATAATAATTTATTTATATTTGGATAGGTACCCAATAGTGGGATTGCTGGGTTGAATGGTAATTCTATTTTTAGTTCTTTGAGAAATCTCTGTGCTGTTTTTCATTGAGGTTATACTAATTTACATTCCCACCAGCAGCATGTACATGTTCCCACTTCTCTCCATCCTCACTAACATCCTTTTTTTTTTTTTGAGACAGAGTCTCGCTATGTCGCCAAGGCTGGAGTACAGTGTTACAGTCTCAGCTCACTGCAACCTCCATCTCCCAGGTTCAAGCAATTCTCCTGTCTCAACCTCCTGAATAGCTGGGATTACAGGCATGCGCCGCCATGCCTGGCTAATTTTTGTATTTTTAGTAGAGATGGGGTTTCACCATGTTGGTCAGGCTGGTCTCGAACTCCTGACCTCATGATCCACCTGCCTTGGCCTCCCAAAGTGCTAGGATTTTTAGTAGAGATGGGGTTTCACCATGTTGGTCAGGCTGGTCTCAAACTCCTGACCTCATGATCCACCTGCCTTGGCCTCCCAAAGTGCTAGCATTACAGGCGTGAGCCACCATGCCCGGCCAACATCTGTTGTTTTTTGACTTTTTAATCATAGCCATTCTGACTGGTATGAGATGGTATCTCCTTGTGGTTTGAATTTGCATTTCGCTGTTGATGAGTGATGTTAAGCATTGTTTCATATGTTTGTTGGCTGCTTGTATGTCCCACTTTTTGATGCGGTTGTTTTTTTTTTTCTTGTTGAGTTTCTTTGTTTTGTTTTTTTTGAGACGGAGTCTCGTTCTGTCGCCCAGGCTGGAGTGCAGTGGCCGGATCTCAGCTCACTGCAAGCTCCGCCTCCCGGGTTCACGCCATTCTCCTGCCTCAGCCTCCTGAGTAGCTGGGACTACAGGTGCCCGCCACCTCGCCTGGCTAGTTTTTTGTATTTTTTAGTAGAGATGGAGTTTCACCATGTTAGCCAGGATGATCTTGATCTTGTGACCTCGTGATCCGCCTGTCTCGGCCTCCCAAAGTGCTGGGATTACAGGCTTGAGCCACCGCGCCCGGCTGAGTTTCTTGTAGATTCCAGATATTAGTTCTTTGTCAGATGCATGGTTTGCAAATGTTTTCTCCTGTTGTTTATTGTGTTGAAAATTTCTTTTGCAGTGCAGAAGCTTCTTAATTTAAGTCCCAGTTCTTTATCTTTGCTTTTGTTGCATTTGCTTTTGAGGTCTTAGTCATAAATTCTTTGCCTGGGTCAATGTCCAGAAGAGTTTTTCCTAGGTTTTCTTCCAGGTTTCTTATAGTTTCAGGTCTTATGCTTAGGTCTTAATGTAATACATCTTGAGTTAATTTTTGTAGACGGTAAAAGATGGGGTCCTGGCTGGCGCGTCAGCTGGGGTCATGCCTGCAATCCCAGCATTTTGGGAGGCTGAGGCGGGTAGATCACGAGGTCAGGAGGTCGAGACCATCCTGGCCAACATGGTGAAACCCTGTCTCTACTAAAAAATACAAAAAAATTAGCTGGGCATGGTGGCATGTGCCTGTAATCCCAGTTACTTGGGAGGCTGAGGCAGGAGAAATCGTTTGAACCAGGGAGTCGGAGGTTACAGTGAGCCGAGATCATGCCACTGCACTCCAGCCTGGTCAACAGAGCAAGACCCCGTCTTAAAAAAAAAAAAAAAAAAAAAAAAAAAAGATGGGGTCCAGTATCATTCTTCTACATGTGGATATCCGAGTTTTCCCTCACCATTTATTGAATAGGATGTCCTTTCCCCATGTATATTTTTGTTAACTTTGTCAAAGACCAGTTGATTGTAGGTACGTGGCTTTACTTATGGATTATCTGTTCTTTTCTGTTGATCTGTGTGTCTATTTTTGTACCAGTACCGTGCTACTTTGTTTACTGTAGCCTTGTAGTATAATTTGAAGTCACATAATGTGATGCCTCTAGCTTTGTTCTTTTTGCTTAGGATTGCTTTGATTATTCAGGTTCTTTTTTGGTTCCCTGTGAATTTTAGGATTGTTTTTTCTAATTCTGTGAAAAATGACATTGGTAATTTGATAGGAATTGTGTTGGATCTGTAGATTGCTTTGAACAGTGTGGCCATTTTAATGATACTGAGTCTTCAAATCCATGAGCATAGAATGTTTTTTCATTTGTTTGTGTCATCTACCATTTTTTTCATCAGTGTTTTGTAATTCTCCTCATAGAGATCTTTCACAGCTTTGGTTAAATGTATTCCTAGGTAATTTTGTGTGGCTATTGTAAATGGGATTGCCTTCTTGGTTTGGTTCTCAGCTTGAACGTTATAAGTATATTGAAATATTACTGATTTTTTTACATTAATTTTTTTCTTATTTTTCAAACATATATATGTATATGTGTATGTATTTTTTTAAACAGAGACAGGGCATCATCATGTTGCCCAGGCTGGTCTTGAACTCCCAGGCTCAAGCTATCCTCCCACCTCAGCCTCCCAAAATGCTGGGATTATAGGCATGAGCCACTGTACACTAATTTGTATCTTGAAACTTCTACTGAAGTCATTTATCAAATCTTTAGGGTTTTCTAGGTATAAGATCATGTCATCAGCAAACAGAGATCATTTAACTTACTCTTTTCCAGTGTGAATGTCCTTTCTTTCTTTCTCTTGCCTGATAGCTGTGGCCAGGACTTCCATTACTGTGTTGAATAGGAGTGGTGAGAATGTACATCCTTGTCTTGTTCCAGTTCTTAGGGGAATGCTTTCAACTTTTCCCCATTCAATATGATGTTGGCTGTGGGTTTGTCATATATGGCTTTTATTATTTTGAGGTATGTTCCTTTGATGCCTGGTTTGTTGAGGGTTTTTTAGTTTTGTTTTTGTTTTTTAAGACAGGGTCTTACTCTGTCGCCCAGGCTTCAGTACAGTGGCATGATCTTGGCTCACTGCAACCTCTGCCTCCCAGGCTCAAGCAATCCTCCCACCTCAGCCTCCCAAGTAGATGGGACTACAGGTGCAAGCCACCACACCTAGCTAATTTTTGTACGTTTTGTAGAGACAGGGCCTCATCATGTTGCCCTAGCTGGTCTCAAACTTCTGGCCTCACGTGATCTGCCTGCCTCGGCCTCCCAAAGTACTGGGATTACAGGCATGAGCTGCCACGCCTGGCTCCACTGTGCCCCAGATTCTACCCGTGGGTTCTCTAACAGGTTCCAGCACTCTTCCCTTGGCTTTCCCCTCCAGCCACAGTCATTCTCACCTGTAACTTTTGTTCTTTCTACAGACAACTGGCTCTGCTATCTCTAGTCGCCCATCTTGGGGGAAAACCCGTCTGCTTCTCCTGACTGTGGGGCTTCTTCCAAGCTTATGCTTGGGGAATGAAGAACCTATGTCTTAAAGTGCTTTTAAATCGCTCCTGAAAGGTCTGCCTCTTAATGAAGGGGTTTTGAAATGTTAGGTTCCTGCCACGCTTGGGCCATGAATGGCTGCCTCATCTCACAGGACCATTTCACTGGAACTGCAGTTTTCTGTTTTAAAAAATTGCTCCTCAGAATGGCCTCTTTCTTTATTTCCATCGTTCAACATTTTAAAATAGATTTCTCAGGTCAACCTTTGTGAACAGAAAAAGAATGATTCCTTCATGATTATTAGCAAATAATACAATCTTACTCTGTTGTTGAAACACGTGATTTTCCATCTTTCTAAAGAAAACAGTCACTGTTTCTCAAGGCAGGGAGCATGTGTTCTCTGTTCTGGAAAAGGTTAGGAAAAAGGACTGAGGCTGAATTTGTTGTCATTGGCACATGTACACATCTCTGCTTTTTGTAATGTGTGAATCTGAGAAATTCTAAAAGTGCTTTTTGATTAAAGAATGCCACACCTAACTGTGCTCTGTCTGTGTGAAGAATAGTTTGTATGTCTCTTTACAGACTCTGTAAGCCCCTAGGTGGCTGAGACTGCTGGATTTCTTCTGCTGACCCTGGTGCATCTCATTACAGGTCTTCAACCCAAAATTCTATCTTATAAGATCCCTGCCAGGATGCAGATTTGAATACCATAGTGAAGTCCGTACATGAGGAAGTGATGCCTTTAGGGAGGGGAAAAAATGGTAATAACAACCTTCAAGAGCCCCTACATCTCAACTCGGCATAAACAAGGCAAGATTCTGAGAGTGGCCACCCCTGGAAGCAGAAATCATTCTTGTGGCTATCCATTGGCTCCTAAGGCTCTCATCAGAGATGGGGCACCTTTAGTACCAGGGAGTGGCTGTTCCCCATAAGGTACTGGAAATTCAACTTTCAAGAGCAGCCCCAGCTGCTGAAGCTACTGGTCCTGGTATGTCTCCTGACTGTCATGTAGAAGATAGCAGAGCTTTGGTGACTTTACAACATAAGAACTGCAGAGAGGTGTAGTCCCAGTGGAAGACTGAATCCAGAGACTCAAAAAGGAAGGTAAACAAGTGGAAAAATGAGAATAGTGACGTCTCCTTTGTATATTGGAAGGATCACCTTAGGGGAGAGGAGAGGCAGATCTCTGGAGTGTTCGCTTTGGGGTGAATTCATTCCTTGTGGGGGTAAAGAGTAAGAATGGGCCCTCACCCATGACCTCTCCATCGCCTCATCCTACTAGTTCTCATATACACTTAGAGTCACTTGGAGACTTTACAATTTAAAATGCTGTTGCTCAGACCCACCCTAGATCAATTAAATCCAAATCTCTGAGTGTAGGGCTTCTTTTCAAGTTGCCACCAGTATTTAGCCAGGGCTGAAAGCCCCTGAGCTCCCCTATGCCACAACAAGAGGAGTTGCACCCCAGAAAAGAGACAGTTCTGCATTGAATTCCCCAATATCATAGAGAAGTAGAGACGTCATAGCCTTTAGGCTTATGTCTTAGAGGGCTTCTCAGTACTGTCTGCCATACCTACACAAAGCAGAATCTCCCAGATTAAATTTAGCCTTTGTGTCATGTATTAACAAGCTGCTTCTCTTTTTCTTGGTTATGCCTTCTCAGAATGCTGTTTTTTCTCAGGAGGGGAACATGGAGGAGAAAGAAATGAATGATGGCTCACAGATGGTGAGATCCCAGGTAAGTTCGATTTTCCTCTCCTCTGAAATGCCATTGCAGTTCTCAGAATGAGGACACTGTTACTTTTTAACTTCTCAGAAGTGCTGCGTCCCAAAAATCCAGAGCCCAAGAGATTCATGTGAGAAATGATACACTCTCCACAGCACGTTTTCCATTCACCTGTGTAGCTCTTTCTAGCTCTTCCCTCCTTCCAGCATTTTCACCAGACTCAATTTCATGGATTCGTGCCTGTGCTGGACATTGTGAAGAAAACAAAAGAAAACAATGGACTGTCTTTTAATCATCCTTAAATAGCTCACTAAAATTTAAACAATGCTTGCATTCTCTCTATAAACACAGTGACTGATGCCCAGGCCCCTAGGATTGCTTGGAGCTAATGGGATTAATAAGTATGCCTGAGGGTAACATCAATCACAAATTAATGTTTCTCAAGCTTCTGTTGTATCTCTTCCAAAACCTGTTTAAGTCTGTTATGATTCCTCTTTTTTTTTTTTTTTTTTTTTTTTGAGACGAAGTTTCACTCTGTTGCCCAGGCTAGAGCGCAGTGGCGCGATCTCGGCTCACTGCAACCTCCACCGCCTGGGTTTAAATGATTCTCCTGCCTCAGCCTCCCAAGTAGCTGGGTCTACAGGCGCCCGCCACTATGCCCGGCTAATTTTCTGTATTTTTACTAGAGATGGGCTTTCACTGAGTTAGCCAGGATGGTCTCGATCTCCTGACCTCGTTATCCACCCACCTCGGCCTCCCAAAGAGCTGGGGTTACAGACGTGAGCCACCACACCCGGCCTAAGTCTGTTATGATTCTATAATCTGATTGGGTATTATGTAAACTGATGAGTATGAGTGCAACAAGAATTGTTTCTATGAAAATTAGTCTAATGCTTTGGAAAGAGTTGATAAATGCTGTCACTTTTGAAAAATTGCTTTCAAATTAGGTGTTAGCAATACTACATCACTGAAGAAAAATCATAAAACTCTCAGGATTCCTCCACAAATATCATTTCCCATGTGTCAGTTGCTTATTCCAACTTCACGAAACAGAAACTGTTTCTTTATAGGTATGAGTACCCAGTCTTTAAAATCACTCATAGAAAAGGCTTAGCTGACTGTGTGCAGTGGCTCATGCCTGTAATCCCAGCACTTTGGGAGCCCGAGGCAGGCAGATCACAAGGTCAGGAGTTCCAAGAGCAGCCTAATATGGTGAAACCCCATCTCTACTAAAAATACAAAAATTAGCCAGGCATGGTGGTGAGTGCCTGTCGTCCCAGCTACTCGGGAGGCTGAGGCAGGAGAACCGCTTGAACCCGGGAGGCAGAGGTTGCAGTGAGCTGAGATCATGCCACTGCACTCCAGTCTGGGCAACAGAGCAAGACTCCATCTCAAAAAAAAAAAAAAAAAATAGGCTTAGTTTTATTTCCAAAGATGAGAAAATGAATGCACATTTATATGTTTTAAAATAAAATGTTTAAGATCTATTTTATGGATCGCTAATTTAGCCATCTTTTTAAATTAACACATCAGATACCAGTCTCAATTGCTTCAGATAGGATTTCTATCATTCCAATAATATGTGATATCATTATTCTTATGTAGCCAATAAACTCATTGAAGGGGATTTTTTTGGTTTGTTTTTTGTTTTTTGTAGAGACAAGCTTTCACTATGTTGCCCAAGCTGCTCTTAAACTCCTGGGCTTAAGCCATCCTCCCACCTCTCCCTGCTGAAGTGCTGGGATTGCAGGTGTGAGCCGCCACACGCAGCATGGGGGGGCTTGTTAAAACCCACATCATACAACTAATACTCAAAAATGCATAATGTTGGATGCTGCTGTGAATGCAAAAGAAAACAAATACAACAGGTGCTGGGAGAAGGGAGAAGTCTGATTGAGACTGTAGGGATGAGGGAAGACTTCATGAAAAAGGCAGAGTTTGAATTTGTGCCAATACCAGCAGGTAGGGTTTGGAGATTAGAGAAAACGGGGTACCATTGCAGACAGGAAATAAAACTTGAGCGAGAGCAGGGACAATAAGGAGACAGCCAGCTAGAGCTGAGCTTTTATTTGGTGTATATTAGTGCTTTGGGGTCTTTGGGTTTCAAGGGATAGATTCATTTGGTTTATTTATTTATTTATTTATTTATTTTTTTTGAGACAGAGACTTACTGTGTCACCCAGGCTGGAGTGCAGTGGCACAGTCTTGGCTTACTGCAACCTCCACCTCCCAGGTTCAAGTGATTCTCCTGCCTCAGCCTCCCAAGTAGCTGGGATTACAGGCACGCGCCACCACGCCCAGCTGATTTTTGTATTTTAGTAGAGATGGGGTTTCACCATGTTGACCAGGCTGGTCCACCCACCTCAGCCTCCCAAAGTATTGGGATTACAGGCATGAGACACCGCACCTGGCCCATTTGGTTTATTCTTAATTAACTGTAAGACTCCCCAGAGACAGGAATAGAAAGACATTTAGAACTAAGGTGGCATGTCTGCTTTTCCACATTCTAGCCCAAGGAGTTAGTTTTAATTTTCTGGAACCATTTATTATGTTTAGAAGGAAGATGATTCATTCACTCAATAAGTATTTTTTGAGCAGCTAGTATGTGACAGAAATTTTTTTTCTTTTCCTTTTTTCTTCTTATGGTCTACTGGTCATTTCATATGTGACAAAAAGTACGCTTTTTTTTTTTTTTTTTTTTTTGAGGCGGAGTCTCGCTCTGTCGCCCAGGCTGGAGTGCAGTGGCCGGATCTCAGCTCACTGCAAGCTCCGCCTCCCGGGTTCACGCCATTCTCCTGCCTCAAGACTCCCGAGTAGCTGGGACTACAGGCGCCCGCCACCTCGCCCGGCTAGATTTTTGTATTTTTTAGTAGAGACGGGGTTTCACCAGGTTAGCCAGGATGGTCTTGATCTCCTGACCTCGTGATCCGCCCGTCTCGGCCTCCCAAAGTGCTGGGATTACAGGCTTGAGCCACCGCGCCCGGCCAAAAGTACGCTTTTTAGCAGCTAGACATCACTGAGAAAAATAGACCTGACCCCAAACCCACATAGCTTATTGAAAGACAGTTAGCAACTATACTAATAAATTGCAAAAGAGATGTTTTTTTTTTTTTTTTTTTTTTTTTTTTTTACATCACTGAGAAAATAGACCTGACCTGTAAACCCATACATAGCAGTTTGAAAGACAAAGAAAACTATCACAAACTGCAAAAAGAGCGTCGCTTTTTTTTGGAGATGAGTCTGTTTATCCCGGCTGACCAGTAATTTTTTTTTTTTTTTTTTTTTTTTTTTGAGACGGAGTCTTGCTCTGTATCCCGGGCTGGACTGCAGTGGCCGGGTCTCAGCTCACTGCAAGCTCCGCCTCCCGGGTTTACGCCATTCTCCTGCCTCAGCCTCCGGAGTAGCTGGGACTACAGGCGCCCGCCACCTCGCCCGGCTAGTTTTTTGTATTTTTAGTAGAGACGGGGTTTCACCGTGTTAGCCAGGATGGTCTTGATCTCCTGACCTCGTGATCCGCCCGTCTCGGCCTCCCAAAGTGCTGGGATTACAGGCTTGAGCCACCGCGCCCGGCCAAAAGAGATGTTTTTTAAACAAAATGAAAACAAGGTGCTATGAATACACATTAGGGAATTAGGGAAAAACTGTGGGGAAGTGAAATTTAAGATGAGAAAGAAAAGATACATAGAACCTACAAAAAGTAAGTGGAAAAGAGCATTTTGGACATATGCTAAAAATCACCTGCAAAAAACATGGGTATATTTGAGAAATTAAAAGAAGGCCACTGTGGTTGGCGTGGAAGGAGGGAGAGAATGACTTGAAGTGAGCTTGGAGAAGTGAGCAGGGCTTAAATACACAAAGCCTGTGGCCATGAAAACAGGTCTGACTTTTACTCTGAGTGCAGTGGAAACCCTTTGGGGGAATTTAAGCAGAAAGATAACATAATAAGTAATCCAGTTCTACATTAAAAATCATCCTGGTGCTATATATCTTAACTGAATTTGTGAGAGGCAGAAGTTGAAAGGGGAAAAACCAGTTAAGCTACTGTAGCATTCTCAATGATAGAAAATAGTGTAGTCATTGGAGGAAAGGAGGGAGATTTGAGTGCTTTCCTTTAGAAACAGCAGAGGTTAGCTAAGGGGTAAAAACAAAGGAAGAAAAAAGATGACTTCTAAGAATGGAACCCAGGAAATGGCACCATTGGTAATGGTAAATCAGATCATGTCATTCCTCTGCTCAAAGCACATGGCTCCCATTTCACTCAAAGTAAAACCCAAAGTCCTTATGATGGCCTAAACAGTCCTGTAGAATCTGGCCCTGTTACCTGTCGAATTTCATCATTTACTTTTCTTCCCCTTACTTCATTCTGGCCATCCTGGCCTCATTCCTCTTCCTTAAACATGGCCGTGGGGCCTTTGCACTGTTAACCTGTCAAGCTTCTTTCTCAAATGTCATCTCTGCAGTGCCATCTTTCCTGACCACCCTATTTAAATTTGTAACTGCCCCACACCCACATTCTCGAACCGTTACCCTACTTTACTTTTATCTTCTGACATACTATATAATTTACCCAGTTATGCTGTTTGTTGTCTACTTTCTTTTCTAGAATATAAGCTTCATAAAGGGCAGGGAGTTTTTGTCTCTTTTGTTCACTGGTGCATCCCAAGCACCATGCCTGGCATATATATAGGAAGCACTGAATAACCATTCATTAAACACATGGGGAATTTAGCATATGATAAAGGTAACATCTCAAACCAGTGATAAAAAGCTGCTTTGTTCAATAATTGATGTTGGGATTTCTGGGGAAACATCTGGAAAAAGATAAAGTTGGATCTCTACCTCATACTTTACATCAGAATAGTCTTCAAATGGATCAAAGATTTAAATATGAAAAATGAAACCACAAAAAGTTATGCAAGAAAAAAATGGGAGAATTCCTTTATAACTTTCACCAAAGAAAAACTTTCTAATTACAACTGAGAATCCAGAAGCCATAATTTAAAACAACAAAAGCGGCTGGGTGCAATGGCTCATGTCTGTAATCCCAGCACTATGGGAGGCCGAGGCGGACGAATCACAAGGTCAGGAGATCAAGACCATCCTGGCTAACACAGTGAAACCCCTTCTCTACTAAAAATACAAAAAATTAGCCAGGCGTGGTGGCAGGCGCCTGTAGTCCCAGCTACTTGGGAGGCTGAGGCAGGAGAATGGCATGAACCCGGGAGGCGGAGTTTGCAGTGAGCCAAGATCACACCACTACATTCCAGCCTGGGTGACAGAGTGAGACTCCATCTTAAAAAAAAAAAAAAAAAGCATCTGCATGGAAAAAAATTAGAAAACTATAAGCAAAGTAAAAACACATGTCAAATTGAAAAAAATATTTTGCCACTCAAATTACAGTGGTCTAATCTTTCTAATATATAAAATACTTCTCTAAATCAGCAAGAGATTAGGAGTCCAACAGAAAAAGATACAAAAGGCCAGGGACAGTGGCTCATGACTGTAATCCCAGCACTTTGGGAGGCTAAGGTGGGCTGATCACTTGAGGTCAGGAGTTTGAGACCAGTCTGACCAACATGGTGAAACTTCATCTCTACCAAAAATACAAAAATTAGCTGGGGACTAGTGGTGGTGTGTGCCTGTAGTCTCAGCTACACAGTAGGCTGAGGTCAGAGGATACTTGAGCCCAGGAGGTAAAGGTTGCAGTGAGCCATGTTTGTACCGCTGCACTCCAGGCTGGGTGACAGTGAGACCCTGTCTCAAAAAAAAAGAAAAAATTTTGTAAAAAGACAGTTTACAGCAAATAAAGTTCAAATGGATCTTAAACACTGGAAAAGTGTTCATCTGTACTGAAAACAAGAGGAAATTTGTATTAAAACTAGAGAAAGCTGGATATTTTATCGTCAGGCTTGATATTTGCCATGAATTTCATATTTTCCGCAAGTGTAACATATTCTGTTAGCAAAGCTGTGGGGAAACAGACACTCTTACACTGCTGGTGTGAATGTGACTGATTGCATTTTCAGAAAAATGGCCAAAATACCTCCCATCCCAAATGCTTTCTTTGCAAGTGACTTTGACACTCATCCCATTATAGATATGGAGGTCTGTGTGCCCTCCATTGGATCTCAGCAAGGCTGTGACTGGAAGATGCAAAGCTTTGTGACTTTCAAGGCAGATCATAAATGGCAGTAAGACTTCTACCTCATTCTGTTGGGATGTTTACTCTAAACCCGGCCACCTTGTCAGGAGGAAACCCGGACAGCCCATGGAGAAGCCCATATGGAGAGAAGCCAAGGCCTACAGCCCTAGCTGAGCTCCCAGCTGAAAGCCAGCACCAATTTGCCAGCCTTGTGAGTAAGCCATCTTGAAAGTGAATCCTCCAATCCCAGTCAAACCTTCCCACCTTGTCCTGCCCAAATTGCAGATTTATGAGTAAAGTAAATGATACTTGCTATTTTAATCCCCCAAGTTTTGGGATGGTTTGGTATGCAGCAAGATAATTGTTAGGGATTTTAGTACCTGAAAGTGGAGTGCTTCAAAAACAAAAACCTAAACCATAGGGCACTAGCTCTGGAACTGAGCACTGGGCAGAAGGTAGAAAACGAGTGAGGGCCTTTGTCAAAACTCAAAGGATAGTAAGGAGAATGTTATTAGAAGCTGGAGGATAGAAGACCCTCGAAGAAGAAATGTTGGATAACATTGTTGCCTTCAGTAACAAGGAAAATAGAGGCCAGGCACTGTGGCTCATGCCTGTCATCCCAGCACTTTGAGAGGCTAAGGCAGGTGGATCACTTGAGGTCAGGAGTTTGAGACTAGCCTGGCCGACACGGTGAAACCCCGTCTCTACTAAAAATACGAAAATTAGCTGGGCATGGTGGCTTGCACCTGTAATCCCAGCTACTCGGGAGGCTGAGACAGGAGAATCACCTGAACCTGGAAGCCAGAGGTTGCAGTGAACCAAGATTGCACCACTGCACTCTAGCCTGGATGACAGAGAGAAACTCTGCCTCAAAAAAAAAAAAAAAAAAAAGGAAAATAGAGAATATAGTTAATGAACTCAGTGATCTACTAAGGAGATTCTCAAGTAGAAGATTGAAAGTGCCAACTGGCAGTTTCTGGCTGCCTAAAGTAAAATGTGAGGGAAAAAGATAAATTCAATGAAGAACTGGTAAATATAAGTGAACAATGAACTTCTGAGTTTGAAAAGAAAACTTTCTCATTCACATCTGTCCAAGCAGCAAATAATAACCAAATTCAGAAAGGGATTCACACCAAAGATCTAATCCAGGGTGGACTATAATACCCTGTGTCACAACTTCAGAAGGATCCAGGGCAGTGCCTCAGAGGACCTGTCCTCTCTTAAACACAAGGTTTCTAAGAATGGTTAAGGTGACGTGCCACTGCAGTCTCACAGGGAACCCAAAGGAGAGAATGGCTGATCTCAGAGAGATTTATGGGTGTGGTATTTGTATTGTAGTATAGCTGGATTATAAATTGGTAAACACTCCAGTTTGGTTTTCCTTTTGTTTTGTTTTGTTTTGTTTTTTTGAGATGGAATCTTGCTCTGTTGCCCAGGCTAGAGTGCAGTGGCTCGATCTTGGCTCACTACAACCTCCGCCTCCCAAGTTCAAGCAATTCTCCTGCCCCAGCCTCCCAAGTAGGAGGGACTATAGGTGTGTGCCACCATGCCTGGCCAATTTTTTAAAAAACTTTTTACACTTTTATTGAAGTAAAGGAACATACAAAAATACACATACTATAAGTGTTAAAAACTCAATTATCACCAAGTGAATTCATCCGTGCAATCTTAATCCAGATCAAGAAACAGAACATTACCAGTATCCCAGAAGATCCTTCTGTATGTTCCCTCCTCAAGTGTATTATTATTATTTTTTTAATTATAGTTAATTATACTTTAAGTTCTGGGATATGTGTACAGAATGTGCAAGTTTGTTACACGGGTACACATACTATGAACAGCACTCATATAAAACAGCAACCTTCATTGATAAATGTTGTGTGTTCTGACTGCTCCACCATCCGGCTGTTCCTCCATCTCCCTCTCCCCCAGCTTCCCTATTCCCTGAGACACAGCAATATTGAAATTAGGCCAAGTAATAACCCTACAGTGGCCTCTGAGCATTCAAGTGAAAGGAAGAGAATCGCATTCTTCACTAAAAGGAACCAGGGATTTTTTGCCAGTTATGGATGAGCAAAGAAAGTGGTTTCTTGAGATGGAATCTACTCCTGGTGAAGATGCTTTGAACATTGTTGGAATGACAGTCAAAAGCTGAAAATGATTAAGATTAATGAGAAGAGCATGTCAAATGTATTTGAAATAGGCCAAAAGCTTGGCCTCTTGGGCCAAACAGCCAAGTCATGTGTACAAAGGAAAAGCTATTGAAGAAAATTAAAATTGCTACTCCAGTGAACACGCGAATGATAAGAAAGCAAAACAGCTGTGTTGCAGATATGGAGAAAGTTTTAATGGATTGGATAGAAGATCAAACCAGCCACAACATTCCCTTAAGCCAAAGCCTAATCCAGAACAAGGCCCTACCTCTCTTCAATTCTCTGAAGGCTGAAAGAAGTGAGGAAGCTGCAGAAGAAAAGTTGGAAGCTATAAGAGGTTTAAGGAAAGAAGCTATCTCAGTAACATAAAAGTGCTAAGTGAAGCAACAAGTGCTGATATAGTAGCTGCGGCAAGTTAATCCAGAAGACCTAGCTAGGATCACTGATGAAGGTGGCTATACTAAACAACAGAGTTTCAGTGAAGATGAAATAGCCCTATATTGGAAGAAGATGCCATCTAGGACTTTATTTATTTATTTATTCATTCCTTTTATTTATTAGTAGAGACGGGGTTTCACTGTGTTGGCTAGGCTGGTCTCGAACTCCTGACCTCAAGTGATCCTCCTGCCTGTGCTTCCCATAGTGCTGGGATTACAGGCATGAGCCACCGTGCCCAGCCCAATCTAGGATTTTAATAGCTAGGAGGAGAAGTCAATGCATGGCTTCAAAAGACAGGCTGAGTCTTTTGTTAAGGGATAATGCACCTGGTGACTTTAAGATGGAGCCAATGTTCATACTATTCTAAAAATCCTAGGTTCCTTAAGAATTATGCTAAGTCTACTTTGCCTGTGAGCTAGAAATGGATCAACAAAGCCTGCATGACAGCAAATCTGTTTACTGCATGGTTTACTGAATATTTTAAACCCACTGTTAAGAACCACTGCTCAGGGGAAAAAAAAAAATCCCTTTAAAAATTACTGCTCATTGACAATGCACCTGGTTACCCAGGAGCTCTACTGGAGATGTACAAGAAGACTAATGCTGTTTTCATGCCCACTAACACACCAGCCATTCTGCAACCCACAGATCAAGGAGTGATTTTGACTTTCAAGTCTTTTTGTTTGTTTGTTTTTGAGACGGAGTCTTGCTCTGTTGCCCAGGCTGGAGGGCAGTGGCGTGATCTCAGCTCACTGCAAGCCCCACCTCCCTGGTTCATGCCATTCTTCTGCCTCAGCCTCCCAAGTAGCTGGGATTACAGGCACCTGCCTCCACGCCCAGCTAACTTTTTGTTTTTTGTTTTTTGTTTTTTTTTTGTTAGTAGAGATGGGGTTTCACCATGTTCTCCAGGATGGTCTCGATCTCCTGACCTCGTGATCCGCCCACCTCGGCCTCCCAAAGTGCTGGGATTACAGGCGTGAGCCACCGTGCCCAGCCCTAATTTTTTTAAAAGAAAAGTTTGACTTGAATGACTCAGAGTCCTGAAGACTATCAGCACAACGGCTTAGATATCCTGGTGCTACACTTTCACCCTCTCCCCGAGGGTCCCTGTAAGAACCATTTTTGCCTGAGCAGGGATGTGCTTGATGTTTCAGGAATCACTGACATTTCAGGACGTGGCCGTGGACTTCACCAAAGAGGAGTGGGACCAGCTGTACCCTGCCCAAAAGAACCTCTATCGAGACGTGATGCTGGAGAACTACAGGAATCTGGTTGCACTGGGTGAGGATGGCATCCCTGTGAAACTGGAAGCCATTCACGTGGGTTTATTTCCTGAACTAGTGGAAGCCTCCAAAGCTTTTGTGAATATAGTTTGGGCTGGGACAGAAGAACACTAAGCAGTTTTGGAGTCAGAGACCTTTGTTTTCTGCTCTTTCTCCTCTGATGGAACGTCTTGATTGAGTTTGAGATGGGTAGCTTTATTTTGCTGCCTCTGAAGTCTCCCCTCCAGAGGCTCTAAAGACTGAAAAGGTTGGGAATGTGTCTGAGAGAGAATTTTGTTCCCAGTACAAACTCCTAAGATGTATGTTACTCCCATGAATAGGGTATCAGCTTTATAAGCCAGAGGTAATCGCGCAGTTGGAGCTAGAGGAAGAGTGGGTGATAGAAAGAGACAGCCTGCTGGACACTCATCCAGGTAAGTGCACGCTCTTGGGCACTGCTGCTTAATAAGGGAACACAGCCACTTCTGAACCACTCAGTGGAGTGCTCCAAAAATCTCCCCTGGGATTTGAGGAATACTAAGCCTTTTGAAAAGAATCAGTTCATATTTGATATTTTTCTGAAGTTGAAATGGCTGCCTTATTTTTTCTCATTGAACAGATAATATATACTTATTGTTTTAAAAATGCACACAAAACAGAGGTTATTTTGAAGGTATCCATTTAAACACCCATAAATACCTTGATATTGCAGGTATCCACACAGCACTTTCTTCATATTTTTTTGATATTGCAGATATCCACACAGCACTTTCTTCATATTTTTTATTTACACATCCCCTCTCAGTATTCTTTAAATCTTTCTTTTCCATGAGAGGTGATCTGAGAAGAAATTTTTTAAAAAGCTTTCTTTTCCATGTCAAAAATCTTCTGCCATTCTAATCTATTTTTCATCTTTTCTTTTTCCTTTTATCATCAAACTCTTGACACTTGTCTACAACCCACAGCCTAATTTCTAATTCTCTTGCTCTCCTTTGTGATACTACCCCGATTCCTACCTCTGCTACTAACATTGTTTTCTTGGAGATTACCACTAATTTCCTTCCAGTCAAATCCAGTGGCTACAAAGCCAGTTAGAATTGTGTTGACTTTCCCTTCTTGAAATGTTCTTCTACCCTGGCTTGTGATGCACACGATTCGTGTCTCTTCCAGCCTCTCTCCGTATCTCCCCCTGCCCCTTTTCTGCATTTTTTTCCTCCTATTCTCCTAAAGATATGTATCCCTATGGACTGGCTGTTCCACTCTGCAGTAAAGTGCTTTTAAGTAGCCCTTTTGTATCATTTTTCCATTTCTCCATTTCTAGTCCCAGTATTTCGTCTACATTCTCCTGTCAGAATTGAGATTATGGCTGGGCGCGGTGGCTCATGCCTGTAATCCTAGCACTGTGGGAGGCCGAGGCAAATGGATCACCTGAGGTCAGGAGTACGAGACCAGCCTGGCCAACATGGTGAAACCTACTCTCTACTAAAAATACAAAAAATTAGCCAGGCGTGGTGGCCTCGCCTATAGGCCCAGCTACTCGGGAGGCTGAGGCAAGAGAATTGCTTAAACCTGGAAGCGGAGGTTGCAGTGAGCCAAGATCGTGCCACTGCACTCCAGCCTGGGTAACAGAGCAAGTCTCTATCTCAAAAATAAAAAACAATTTAGATTAATTTTTGTTTATTAGTGTCATGCTGTCATTTTACTTAAATATTTCTTTTTTTGTTTTTTTTTTTCCTGAGATAGAGTCTCGCTCTGTCGCCCGGGGTGGAGTGCAGTGGCGTGATATTGGCTCATTGCAAGCTCCACTTCCTGGGTTCACGCCATTCTCCTGCCTCAGCCTCCCGAGTAGCTGGGACTACAGGCGCCGGCCACCACACCCAGCTAATTTTTTGTATTTTTAGTAGAGACGGGGTTTCGCCGTGTTAGCCAGGATGATCTCGATCTCCTGACCTCGTGATCTGCCCGCCTCAGCCTCCCAAAGTGCTGGGATTACAGGCGTGAGCCACTGTGCCCAGCCTACTTAAATATTTCAAAACCTGGATCTGTTGTTTATAATGTCTTCTTTAAATCATTCCCTTAAAGATGGGATTTCTTGACCCAAAAAAAAAAAAAAAAAATCCCAACCACCTTAGTTTCTTATTGCTGGCATACCACATACAATGTTCTGCTTGACTGTTTTAACAAGGAGTGGACTGCTGACTGTACACCAGATGCTGAGTTAGGTAGTTTCTACTCTGGTCCATGACACCAAGTGAACCTACCCCATCTCTGTGAGTTCCCACTCTGGCTCTTTGCTCTGGTACCTGGCTTCATCATTTGGACTTGGTTTTCTGTCATTCAAACTCTTTGGCTTTTTCAAGTTGACTTTGACTTGGCTGTCCATCTTGCTTTTAATGCTCTAAGTGATCTTAGGTAGAAAACCTTGTTCCTGGCTGGGCACAGTGGCTCACGCCTGTAATCCCAACACTTTGGGAGGCCGAGGCGGGCAGATCACAAGGTCAAGAGATTGAGACCATCCTGGCCAACATGGTAAAACCTTGTCTCTACTAAAAATACAAAAATTAGCTTGGCGTGGTGCCGTGTGCCTGTAGTCCCAGCTACTTAGGAGGCCAAGGCAAGATAATCGCTTGAACCCAGGAGGCAGAGGTTGCAGTGAGCCGAGATCGCACCACTGCCCTCCAGCCTGGCAACAGAGTGAGACTCCATCTCACAAAAAAAAAAAAAGAAAAAGAAAAGAAAACCTTGTTCCTGTTTCAGCCTTCCTGAGATCTCTCAGCCCCACTAAACCAGAATTTTCACCTAACCAGTGCTCACATTCCATGAATAGAACTGGTAATTAAGACATTTTGTCAAGAAGCCCGGGCACCTTCCCTGACAATGCTGGGACATATTTCTGCAGCCTTCCACATCCCCAAACCTGCGGAGTGGGAAACTAAAGGAACAAATTAGAGAACTCCCTTTTCAGGTAAATTTCCAGGGCGGGGCTATTCCTTCCCCCAGGCACATATGCTGTCATCAGTAGGACCCACACTATCACACTATCTCCTATTGTGTCCCTCTCCACAGACCCCCAACTCGAAAAAATAATGCTAACTTAGGAAAACTTCCAGATTTTGGCCGGGCGCAGTGGCTCATGGCTATAATCCCAGCACTTTGGGAGGCCGAGACGGACCATCACTTGAGATCAGGAGTTCAAGACAAGCCTGGCCAATATGGTGAAACCCCATCTCTACTAAAAATACAAAAATTAGGCACATGCGGTGGCATGTGCCTGGAATCCCAGCTACTCAGGAGGTGGAGGTAGGAAAATTGTTTGAATCTGGGAGGCAGAGGTTGCAGTGAGCCAAGATTGCACCACTGCATTCCCGCCTGGACAACAGAGTGAGACTCTGTCTCCAAACAAATAAGCAGAAAACTTCCAGATTTCATATGTGGATGCCCAAGGCTCTTGGTTCACAGATAAGCTTGAGCAAGTGGTTTTTTTTTTTCACATCTCTTATCAGGGACAGGCAGCCTAACCTCTTCTCTAAAGAGACTGCTTGCATTTCTTCAGTATCCTGTGAAACAAAGTCAGTGATTCCCCTGAGAGGATGTAGTAAAACATTTGTTTGTCAGGAGGCTAAGAGAATGACAGAGCTTATGCAGCCTAATTCTGCACGCCCACTAGGGTACTGGATGCCTCAATGTTACTGACATTTGCTCATCCTTATTTATCTAAAATCTTTTCTTAAGCTGAGACCTGGAAAATACCCAGTAGATTTAGCAGCAAGAAGATTGGGAATTATATTATTGAGAGAAGTGATGGGGGATGATTAGAAGAACATTCAGTTTGTACGTTGTTGCATGAACAACAGGGGGAGGTTTAAAAAGAAAAAATTAGAGCTAGCAAGTGTGTAATATTCTTATAAGCAGCTAGAGTGAGAGCTGGGCACAGTGGCTCATGGCTCACACCTATAATCCCAGCACTTTGGGAAGCCAAAGCACATAGATCACAAGGTCAGGAGTTTGAGACCAGCCTGAGGTTCACCAACATGGTGAAACCCCATCTCTACTAAAAATATAAAACTTAGGCAGGCGTGGTGGTAGGTGCCTGTAATCACAGCTACTTGGGAGGCGGAGGCTGGAGAATCTCTTGAACCTGGGAGGCAGAGGTTGCAGTGAGCCGAGATTGCACCACTGCACTCCAGCCTGGGTGACGGAGTTAGACTCTGTCTCAAACAAACAAACAAAAAAGCAGCAGCAGCTAGCTAGAGTGAGGAGTGGGAAGGGGAAATAATAAAGAGGATATTAGCAGCCAGAATAAAAGGTAGTGTCAAAATAGGATTGTTCTAGGCCAGGCTCAGTGGCTCATGCCTAGCACTTTGGGAGACTGTGGAAGGATCCCTTGAGCCCAGGAGTTCAAGACCAGGCTGGACAACATAATGAGACCCCTGTCTCTACAAAAAATTTAAAAGTTAGCGGGATGTGGAGGTATGAGCCTGTAGTCTCCACTACTTGGGAAGCTGAGGTGGGAGGATCATGAGCCTAGGAAGTCAAGGCTGCAGTAAGTTATGATGGCACCACTGCACTCTAGCCTGGGCAATAGAGTGAGACTTTGTAAAAAACAAAAGAATTGTTCTAAGCAGGAACAATTTTACTTGTTTATAATGCTGATGGGAAGGAACCAGTAGAGAGGACAAGTTAAAAATAGATACAGCTGGGTGTGATGGCTCACGCCTGTAATTCCAGCACTTTGGGAGGCCAAGATGGACAGATCACTTGAGGTCAGGAGTTCAAGACCAGCCTGGCCAACATAGTGAAACCCCATCTCTACTACAGGTACAAAAATTAGCTGCATGTGGTGGCATGCACCTGTAATCCCAGCTACTTGGGAAGCTGAGGCACTTGAATCACTTGAACCTGGGAGACGGATGTTGCAGTGACCCAAGATTGTACCACTGTACTCCTCCAGCCTGGGTGACAGAGCAAGACTCCGTCTCCAAAACAAAACAAAACAAAAAAAAAGCTACAAGAGATGGAGCAAGGTTCTAGAAGAGATGAGAGTGGGATTAGAGGGAAGGACATTAGGGTGACTATATATATCAGTAAATTTGTCGATGGAAGATTTGGGGGAGTTCACACATGATGACTTCTGTTTTCTTGGCAAATTAGGAAGCAGTGTCCTTTGTTGAGTGTAGGGGAATTGGGAAGGCAGGTAGAGGACTCATGGTGCATTTGCTGAAGCTTACAAGGGTCAATGGAAGCTGACCAAAGACAAGCAGAGGCAGCACTGAGCAGCAATGAAGGCCCCAGTGAGACTCTGCCCCATACAGCTGTGGTTTCTAATTTGCATGAGTATGCTCTTTCTCCTGTTTTATTTAGCACTCGAAAGGGTTTATAGGACAGGGGCTGAGGGTGTTAGATTTTGGGGACTATTGGAGGAAAACTGTGTGAA